AGCCAATTTGTTCAATGGCGTGGCTCAATTGCTATTACTTTTTTCGTCTGGTTGAGCTATCTGTGAGAGTGTGGTGTTAAAGAAGTTCCCTTCTACCATGTGATTGCCTTGATATTTTTCTGGCCTTTTATTTCCAATATTTGCTTCAGGGAGTTGGGTGTACCAGTGGTCACTGCACATTGTGATTTCTTCCTGCTGAATTCCTTATAGTAGTACAGTGGTCTTTGTCTCTTCTGATCAGTTTTAACTTGAAGTCTGCTTTGTCTGAAAATAGGATAACTACTTCTGTTTGCTTTCAGGCTCCTGAACCTTGTAGTACCATTTTATATGTTTTCAATCTATGTGGTTTTTGTGGGCGAGGTACGTCTCTTATAGGTAACATAGTTTTGGTTTTGTTTTTAAATCTAATGTGCCAGTTTGTGTCTTCTGATTATAGAGTAAAAAGCATTAACATTGAGAGTTTATTATAAAGTTTTTACTAAATCTTGCCATTGTAGTAGTTTTCCAGTACTGATTCCATCTTTTCCTTTATCTATTTCGTCACATAAATCTAATATTTGAGCTGTTAGGTCATGTTAGATCTGCTTCTGTCTAGGATACCCTTAAGAGCTTTCTGCAATGATGTAGTGGTCTTGAATTTTAGGTGCTCTTTATAACAGAAAGTTTTTCACTGTCAATTTTGAAAGTTTACAGAATATATTAACTTATGTTTGAATTTATTTTCTTTTGGGGCATTAAAACTATACAACTCTCCTGGACCTTAAGGTGTATATTAAGAAATCCATGTTATGATGATAAGTTTGATTTTATGTTTTTGATGTTTTTTCTCTAACAGCTTTTAGTATTCTTTGTGCTATATTTATGGGATTTTGACTATCATTTGTCATGGAGAATATCTTTTGTAGTTGTAGGTATTTATCTCTGTATTACTCATTTATATGGATGATGAATTCTCTAGATTTGGAAATTTTTCTGTTATGATTTAGGTGAATATTTTTTATAATTTTTGTGTTGTTATAATCTTTCTGTAACTCCTCTCATTCTTAGGGTGTTTTTCTTGGCCATCAAACAGCTGTTGGATCTATTTTCCATGCTGTCTTGTTTTTAGTGTTTCAATGAGTATATGATCTATATCAGCTTGCTGTCTAGTTATGACACACTCATTTCATATTATTCATTCCTGTGAGCATACTTTTAATTTTTTATATCTTTTACTTCAGTTTGATTTCATGATCTCCAATTGCTTATGGAAATGGTCATTGTTGTCCTGTACACTTTTTTAATTCACCCAGCTTTTTGTGTCTTCAAGCTTCCAGCTATTTTATTAATTAAATCCTTTATCTTGGATGTTAACCTTTTATGCTTGTGAGGTCAGCTTTAGGAGAGTTTAGAGTTTTTGGAGACATCTTGTTACTTTGTTTGCTCATAACAACTATGCTTTCCATGTGAGGACGAAAGATTATGACAGCAGAAAAACTGTCTTCCAAACCTACTGACAGTCCATACTATATTTAGGTAGTCTGTGCTTCCCTTGTATTTGTTTACGTCTTCTACCTACACAGTGCAATACAAGAAATCCCATTCACTGTATTTCAAGGAGAGAACCACTACTGGTCATATCTGCATCCAGAAAACCAACTGTGATCAATCTTAAATTTAAAACTTGTTTTAACAACTTTATCCTTTTTTCAGCAACTCAGAAAGAAGACTGTGATAGTACTGATCTTAAGTAGACTGAGACAAAGAGGATAAGGAAGGAAAATAAACAGTTCAGAAAGAAGTAAAAGAGAACTGCAAGTAAAAGAAAAGAGGTAGGATTTTGTTGGTATTAGTTTATCTGGCTGATGGATAGGATGTTGGAGAGTATTTCAGGGTTGAAAAAAAAGGAAGACAAGGTAAGGGAATATAATTGGATACTGAAGGAAGATCTAAGAAGATTGAAACCAATCACTATGCTGATAGAAAGCTTGCATATGAATGTACCAAGCATAAGTTTTAGTATGCATAAACCTGACAGGCCCATGAAAGGTACTCTGTAAACTAAAGTACTAGTTAATTCTCTCCATTTTATGTGTAGAAATACTGTGTGTGTGTGTGTGTGTGTGTGTGTGTGTGTGTGTATGTGTGTGTGTATTTAGGGTTGTGTATATTACAGGAGAAAAACAATCATACCCAAACAGAAATGTACCAAATGTACCTTCCCCTTCTTTCACAAATAGAGAAAATTTAACTTATAGCAGTTATAGGATCTGAGCCCCTGTTCTCTATAGTTGACTCTAGTTTTGATGTATTTACTGGTATTTGAGGTATTTCCTGCCTAGGAGTAATTTGAGGTATTTCCCTTGCCTGAGAGTAAGTAACAGAGTTTTCATACCACTGAGCATGCTTCTTGTTCCCTCTATAGTCAGTGGTATGCTTGGTTTCAGCTGTGATCCTGTTGACTAAGATATGTGACAGTTTATTCTCTCTTATAATCAGATACCTTAAATTTCGATAGGGAGATGCAGCAGTTTGTGAAGTATCTAGTCTCCAGCTGATTTCTGAAGAGGGCTTTTTGATGTTATCTCTTTCCAGTGATAACCCCTGCACCTTCTTATGCCTATACTGCTCTGAGTGAACATGCTGCACAACCCCCTCTAGTGAGGCAGCTCTTTTGTGGCTCTCCACACATACCAGACTATCTGTCCACATCCTAAATAGAGAGTCTATTCAGTCTTCAAACACTGTGGCACACAGGGCTTGCAGATTTCAGCAGCTCTTGGCTCAGAATGGAACAGCTCAACAACGAACTCTGCAGCATCTGGGGGTATCAGGTAGGAGATTCCACAAGCACCGAGCACACCAGTGTTTGGTGGAGGGATGGGAAAGTGATTATCTTGGCATTACTACTATGTCTTCCCCAATCCCTATCACAGGTTGCAACTGCTGCTTACTACTTGATTTACTGAGTCACAGATCTCTGGATCTCTGGTTACAGGTCCCAAACACAGACCATACCCTTGTTCCTTTATTTCTTAAGGGCACACCAGTCCTACTTCAGTCACTATGCTCTGAATGAGTCTGTGGCTTTCAGTTTTTCTGGTGCCTTAATCTGTGACAATCTTCTTCACTGAGTTGTCTCCCAGTAAGAAAGGAATTAGGACAAGGTTGAAAAGTGAAGCAAGATGGCTAGGTACTAGATAGTGGCTGCTAGGTTGGGTACTGCTATACTTGGCTTTTTCCCTCAGCAAGTGAGATCTTTTCCCAAGATGGTCTGTTTGATGGACCTAGGGTATAAACAATGCTGGGGCAAGATGTGGCCCTGCTTCTTTTTCTAATTACTTAATACTGGGATTAATCTGATGGGCTTCTCCTTCAAGTTGCCTTCCTATACTTGTGTATTTGTCCTCCCTACCCATGAATTTCTAAGTATCTGTACTTGCTGACGTGTGTCTTCCAAGTATCCTGTAAGCAGTAGTCTCTTGTCATCCATGATATAGCTTCAACTAGATCTGCCCCCTTCTAACTCTTTTTCCTTTATTGTCTTCTTCTCAAATAGTCTCTCTTATGCTTTCATGTTATCTCTTTTTTTTCTAGAATTCTAACATGAAAGAAAACATATTTATTGTTCTCAGTCTGGCTGATTCCACTTACTATGATGATCTTAAGGATAGACCTGGTGATCTCACTGTTACTTACATATTCTTTCTATCCTTGTATAGAGTCCAGAACAGTGATGGTGAACCTTTTAGAGTTTTCAATGACACAAACAGCACACTATGGCATGAGGATGATAAATTCACCACCATTGGTCTAGAGCATTTTGTCAAATACTGACACTGGTATTTTCATAGGTGGAGGCACTGTAAGTTATTATTTTTCTTTTGAACTTTTCTGTAATGGTTACTGGTATTTGACAAGTAACCATCATTTTATTAACAAAACAAAATAATTACTCTATAAAAAATAAAGTAGAATGAGTGGCAGCAGCATACACTGGAAAGAATAAGAGAGGGAATCAAGGCACCTGCAGCTGAGTATGATGCTGGAAGTCAGTGACTATGAAATTTGTCTGAGCCAAGGAAAATGGAAAAAAAAGACATGGAACTAAATGAACTCAAAGGTTTCTTTCAGTACCAACATTTTACGAATTTAGCTCCTATGTAAATTCTTAAGGAAATTTAAAAATAGATTTACCATTTCATCTTTTGGTTATCTCAAAAACAACTAGATTTAGGATACTCTTTCTTTGTTAAATTTTATAGCTTGATCATACTACAAATTACATAGTATATGATATACTAGACAATGTCAAAACATTTAATACGTACTTCACATCAATAATTAAAAAGAAGTAGTAATGAAAACACAACTACAGAAAGTCCTTGGTAACATTACAGAATACTTCAAATTTTGAGTGATAAATAAGCATTTATAGAAGTTGCTTTATATCAGGTAGTTTCAAAATTCAGTGTGTGTGTGTGTGTGTGTGTGTGTGTGTGTGTGTACACGCACATGTGTTTAACCTTCAGAAACCACTGTAATCTATGAACTGGTTGTTTCTTCCTGTATGTAAGTCTTCTGAAGTGAATAACTTCCAGCATGTATAATTTTCTATTAATTAAAAATTGAGGGGCTGGGGAGATAGCTTAGTAGAATAAGTGCTTGCCTGGAAAGCTCAGGGTCCTGAGTTCAATCCCCAGTACCGAAGGAAAAAATTGAACTTTATGAAGTTCTCCAATGGAGCAGTTTATTTCCCTATACATTCTAATTTGTTGTTTTAACTTAAATCTTCAAATCTGCATTTATATTGCTAAATTTCATTTAAAAATTTCATTCTATTTGTGCTAATTGTGTCAGTAAGAATGGCATCAATCATGCTGAGACACAAATGTGATTTTGCAAATGTAAGCAATGAATAACAATTATTATATCGTAGGTATTATGTGACATATAAATATTGTCACACTGAGTGTTTAAGCACATACTAAAAGTTTGTTACCACCTACCAAAAAACTTACCTTAGCAATTATTACTGACTGAACAGGGTAACAAACAGTTGCTCCTAAAGTAGCCAGTCCTAGTGGATAAGCAATTTTCTTAAATCTAGAACCTATAAAATTGAAAAACAGTATTAAATTCTTAACAGATGAATGTAGAGACTTGATGCTCAATACTGTAATGTTATTTGTTCTTCCTTTAAGTCATCCTCCTCTGTTAAATTACTTTTTGGGTAAAAGTAATCAAGATGACACCTAAAATGTCCTTAATTATCCCACTTCAATCAATCTCCTATCATGTCTAATTTAAGAAAGTGTACTCAATCTATTGCTGAAAAATTACCTACACAAAAGGAATTGATTTTCTTTTTAAGCTAGATAGTTATGTACTTAGAAACTGAAAGTTGCAGCTTCATTTTTCTCAAGTACAGAATGCAGTGTCATACAGAGAATCAACAACCATGTTGAAGTGAAATGGACCACTTATGTCTTTTTGATTAAGCATTCAGGGAGGTGAATGAGTGATCTATTATTCAGCTAAAGACTTTAAAAGGTGCACAACTTACTCATGTCACTGATTTAGAACAATGAAATTACAATTTTAAATGACTTAATTAATGTATTTCAAAAAGTGCCATAAAAAGTACTTAAGCATCTAAATCATTTTCATGCATTTTCTAAGAGTTAATTATATATGCCTTTTTGTAACTTGATAGCAACCTTTATTTTGTGCTTCAAAAGTTTTAATTGGTGACTGCATGCTTTACATACTTCTCATGTCCAAGACAGGGGAATAATTTAGCCCTTGATTTACACAATAAAAACCAGGCCTGGCAAAGAGGTGTGTGCCTGTATCTGGCTGAGAAGGCTAGATTTTAGCTGAGTACTTCCTCTAGCATCCAAGCTCCTGACTTCTGTTTTCATTTTATACATTTTTGAGGAACAAACTCTTCCAAAAAAATGCCTAACAGAATGTTATTTGGAACTTGCTTATAGAAAACCTGTGATTAACCTGGAGGCAGGAAACTCAGCTGTGTATGTGATTTCTCCCTTATTCCTATAAGACCCCTAAAGATTAGTTTCACCAAACTTTTGTTTCAAAACTATACATATACTAAACATGTACCTGAATACATTGGACTCTGCAAATATGACTGGGCAATTAAATGATTTTTTTAAAAGTTGGAGTAAGTACTTTGATTCTCTAAAACAGCTATCACTCCTAATTTTAAAATAAATCATCCTACCTGTACATCAACAAAGGCTAAGGTGAAAAATACCTGGCTGTTTGCAGGCAACTTTGTAGGTCAGGGAAGGTTAAAAACAAGGTATTTCTCAGTATGATTTAACCATTATTAAATGATAATTTTACAATCATGTCTAATATACATGGAGTTTAGGGGAGGTGGCTAAACAATCGGATTTAAACAACCTCTAATTTATCTTTCTTTTAGGTTTAGACTGTTCTATAATGGTGTGGGGAAATGGAGTCTAGGTTATTTAAAATATGCCCTAACTCCTAACCTCTGAAATGAATTATCTCTTCTCTATTACTACATATTTTAATGTCATCTAAATGGAAATATATTACATGGTTTCTTTCACTCAGATTTATCGAGATTGTTGCATGTGTTAATAGCTTATTACTTTTTTGTTACTAAAGGTATGTGCCACAATTTAGTTTACTCATTTATTTATTGAAGAATATCTAACTGGTGTCTGGCTTTTTATTTATTTATTTATTTATTTATTTTTATTTTTATTTATTTATTTATTTTTGGCAAAACCGAGGATTGAACTTAGGCCCTTGCACTTGCCTGGGAAGTGCTTCTTCCACTGAGCCATCTCCCCGGCCCCTCTCTGGCTTTTTATGATTATAAATAGAGCTACTATAAATATTTTGCACAGGCTTTTCATTTTTCCATGGTAAATATCAATGACATCATTATATTAAATAGTAAATGTGTGTCTAACTTTATGAAAAACTGTCAAACTATTTTTTTCAGAATGGCTGTACCATTTTGCACTTTCACTAGCATTATGTAAGATTTCTTGTTCTTCTGCACCATTAATTATACTTGGTGTAGTCAGTCTTGTAGATATTTTATTAGGTGTGTAATGCTAACTGTAGTTTTTATCTACATTTTCCTAATGAACAATGATGTCAAAAACTTTGCATAAAATCTTTAAAATATAAGCACTATGTACTAAAAAGGAATTTAAAACTTTATAAGGAACCTGACTTGATATTATTCAATAAATGTTACAAGGTGTTTCACAAATTACAGTTTATAAATTAATATAATGGCACTGAAAGAGAGAGTATATTTCCAGAACCTACCTTTTCTTGCTGAAAGCAAGCCTGCCAATCCTGAAACTGTAATCACTCCCAATTTTGGAAGAAAATCTCGAGGAGGATTCTTCAGATAGGCATATGCATCTCAAAAAAGTCAGTTAAAAATTAATATAAATGACTGACTACAATTGAGAATTCTGTGTAAGTAGAGGTTAAAAAGATGGGCTTGTTAATAGTAGACAATAAGATAATATTGGATGGCTTAAACACTCAAATATACAAAATTATATGATCAGCAACCTAAATTAGTTATAATTTCTTATTGAAAATCTCCCTTCCATAGTTGATTTAATGATACTCATTTTTTTAATAATACAAATGAAGGGGTTGGGGAGATAGCTCAGTAGAATAAGTGCTTGTCTGGTAAGCACAAGGGTCTGAGTTCAATCCCCGGTTCCACCAAAAAAAAAAAAATACAAATGAATATTACTCTTTAATGAAATATATTAAAAAGTACATCTTATCTTATCTTTTTTTGTGGCACCAGGAATTGAAGTTGAGACCTTGCACTTGTCAGGCAGGTACTTATGCCGCTGAGCTATATCCCTGGCCCTAAAAGGTACATCTTCATATGAATTATTATAAGGTAAATTTCTAATTGTATATGTATTATATCCCCCAAATGAACATGCTTCTGCCCTTATCTGTTCAAATATTGGTAGGATTCAGTAAGAAATAAAAGATTTTTATTAAGGAGATTTGCCACTAGTCCTTGCTTGTCACTATTTCTCAAAAATATCTGAGCAGCCATTGCATTTGGTTAAAACCAATAATCAGGATGAGAAATAAGCCTGGATAATAAGCCCTTCTAGCTAAAGGAGACCTCAGTTTAAATCTGGGCACTTAACCTTATCAAACCTCAGTTCCTTCATCTATAAAGCACATTTACTATAATTGTAACACCAACACTCACAGAATTATGACAAAAGCTAAATGTGACAAATTATACAATGCCTTGGCATTACATAATTTACAGAATGCCTTGGCACACAATAATGACTAAATACATGGTAAATAATACTGCTTTAGTAATATCAATGAACTCCAAACCATTTTCTAAGCCAGTAAAAAGCATGATAATGGATAATATACTATGTTTTTCTTACATTTCTTACATTTAAGCATTGTAGTTTAAAAACAAAACATTTCTAATTATGGTTTCCTCACCTTTTCCAAATTGTACTGTATCCATTATTCCATTTTTCACAAAGATATATGTACTCTAAGTAAAAAACAAAACAAGGAAAAAGAACATTTCAATTAATGAAGCTATTGTTATATACATGAAATAGCCTGTATCTTTGAGATTGTATTAAATAGTTGACTTAGCATTATACTCAATCTAAATCCAGCTTTCATATGTATTCATTATGAGGATATTTGTTTAATTTAGCTTCCTTTTACTTTTTGTATGTCATTATGTTTAACAAATAATACCTGTTTACTATTATCTGCATAAACCTATACAATAAACAATTCACAGAAAAACACGGCAAACACATAAAGATTTATAACCAATTTTATAATGACCAAGAAAAATGAATGGAATTTAAATTGCATGAGAAACAGATACATGTCAGCAGAGAAGCAAAATCTCATTAGCAGAAATGCAATAGCAACAACAGTGATATATAAAACAAAAACAAGACAAAATATACAGAAAGCTGCATCTTTTTCCTGTCTTAGTGTGCATTACAATGAGAAAAATCCAAATAAAGCCTTTATCTCAGGGTAGAAATCATTTCAGACTAATTTCTGCCTGATTTTCAGGCAGAATCATAAATTTTCCATAATAAGGATTATATTAATCCTCTGAAAGAATTAAAACTTTGAAGCAAATCTTTCCTTTAACTTGTTTTAATTAACCTAATTTAATGAAAGATTGTTATGCACATCAACAGGTATTATCTAACTTACTAAAAGAAAAATGATATCACAAAATGATTTTCTCATAATCATGCTTATTTTATTGAAACAGAAAACACAATCCAAATATATGGTTTCCTTTTCTGAACTACATGCTCTGAAACTAATAAAAAAATAAAAAAGAGATTTTCAAAGCATAAAAATAGAAATGATTATATTAAACACAAAAGAAATAAGGTATTGCTCTCTAGATATTATGGTCTAGTATTTGTTTCAGTTTAATGGAGAACAAAAATGCAGGGGCTTATAGTTCATCCTGGTTTATAATACTATACAAACCAGTACAGGACTTGCCTGCTACTAAGCTACTTCTCTTGAAAAAACTATCTTTATGATAACTTAACCTTCAATATGAAAATGTTCATTGACCAGTTGATTGGAAATCATCAAATCTTTGAGAAAGATCCTATTTAGTAATTCATTTTCACCAGTAGGGGGCACTGCTACAAAAGAGTACAAGTACAAATTAAAAATGCCCCACATCTCCAGGTTTTGTGAAGAATATAATTTGAATTAGACACTTATTTTTTAAAAAAGATTACATTTTTAGAGAAAAATTATTTACACTCAACATGCGATTTGAAAATAGCTTCAATTCTGTTTCAGCATATTAATAGATTAATACATTCTTTCAATCTTTAAATTGGTTAGTTACATCAGCTATGTAAAGATCTCTGAGAGACAATTTTCCTCAGTGAAGACACATCTGAGCTCTGTGAACATTATAGAAAACTGGGTCTCAGGAGACTTACATCTGAATCTGAATCAGCTAGCATATGTATGGCACTATAATCTTTGGAGCATTGTTCAGATGACAATTAGGAGTTACTTCTTTCAGCGAAGAAGGTATTAAACATATGGAGTACAGCTAGTACCACTAGAATTATGTAACAATCAGAAATTCTAAAAATTAACACCATTACTTCATCAACTATTTAAAATATCATCTGGAATGACCAGACTTTACTGATTTGATATTTTACTTAAGGATGAATTTTTCTAAGTTCATCAGAATTTTCTTTTTTTAAAAAATCAACACTTTTAAGGGGCCGAGGAGATGGCTCAGTGGAATAAGTGCTTCCCTGGCAAGCATAAGGGCCTGAATTCAATCCCTGGTTCCGAAAAAAAAAAAAAATCAACACTTTTTTTAGCTTGCACATGAAGTGCTGAAATTACTTACAGATTGTTTCATATTTGTCAAGATTAGATCATAAGAACATTCTGATGGGAAAAGTAGAATCTACTGTATTTTGCTTAGCTTTCAGGCAGCAACATCCAGTAGCAGAGTAATGGAGTGAGCTGATGCAACAACTAAGTTTCATTATTGTAACATAAACATAATCACTTTTTAAAAATGTATTTGGGGGCTGGTTAAATAGCTCAGTGGATTAAAGCACCTGCTTAGATGGACACAGGGGCTGGGGTTTGATCCCCAGCCTGCTGTGCCGGCTCTGCCCCCAGGGTAACCTGAGAAGGCAACTGAGACTGGGTATGGTGGCACACACCTGTAATCCCAGTGCTTGGGAGGCTGAAAAACAGGAAGGATCATTACAAGTCCAATCTGTGTAGTGAGACCCTGTAGACTCTGTACCTAATACATAAAAAGAAAAAAAATATATATATATATTTGCTTGTTACAGGGTTTCAGTATGCCACTTGGACTCATAGTGATCCTCCTGTTTTCAGCCTCCTCAACACTGGTATTTACAGTTGGATGCCACTACGCTGGGATTCTGTGGTTGGCTCAGCCCACTCTGGGGGTTTGGCTGTCATGGCATGTGGTGCTGGGGATCGAACCATGGTTCCTACACTTGCCTAACCAGGTGCTTTAGATTGCTGAGCTATCTTGCTGGTTCAAACATAGTCATTTTAACATCAGTATCTCCAATGTTAATACCTTAGTGGCAGTATGGTAATATTGCTACTACTATGTTGTTTGTTAGGTTTTTTTGAGACAGGGTCTTGCTGTGTGGTCCAGGCTGGTCTTGAATTCATAGGGATCCTCTTGCCTCAGCCTTCTCAGTTCTAGTATTATGGGTATGTGGCACCACACTTGGCTATTTTCATTACTTTAAGAATCATAACTTGCTTCCATTCAAGAACTTCATATTGGGTAAGGAACACAATTGCGGCCATCTTCCCTACATGGACACAAACATAGCCATCTTCCACAGAAGTATGGAACAAGTTATGTTTGTGAACTGAGGAACCACTGCATATGCTAGCTGACATAAACACTTGTCGAACTATAATCTATGCAATAGTGGTATAACAGATTAAATGCAGGTATGGATCCTTTGCTACTGCTCTTATTGAGAGAGGTGGTATCTCATTCTCCCTTTAAAATTGAGTTAGCTTGAGGGATTTGATTTTCCAGAAGAATGCTATAGAACTAACATTTTTGAACATCTGAGAATAGGTAAGAAGCTTAGAAAGTTCTGTCTAAAGCCTGTTATAACACTATGTAGGAGTCTTGAACTGCTCAAGTAAGTAATATGCCTTGAGGTCCTTGTGCCTGAGAGAACATGTACAGATTCTTTAGTCAACAATCCCAACTGAGCCTATCCTTCCATTTATCCTTGCAAAGGTACCAGAAACACAAATGAGGTTTAAACTTTCTAAATTAGCCCATTTACCAAATGAGTATCACTGAGTGACCTCTGTCAACACCACATGCAACAGAAAAACTAGCTGTCTGTATTCTGATCAAATTCCTGACCCATAAAATTATAAGACAAAAAAATTATAATGCTGTTTGTAATTACCAAGCTTTATGGCAGTTTTTATATATCAAAAGTAGCTGGAAGAAATGGAAGGCTCTAATATTAAGCCACTATCAAAACACACTTACCTTGCACCAGCCAATGTAAGAACCAGTTGTACTGCGGATAGATGCAAAGCCCATTTGTAAATAACCAGGCTGCTCTTCAATGTATTTAGATTGAAGAGGTGGCACAGTATATATGGGGAGCTAGAGGCAAAATAAAAATCCATGTCAAAAGCAAAACAGCTGGCCTGCCTTTTCAGGCAGTGTGGCAAAACAGTAATCTTCATCAACCTTCCTCCTAAAACCAATACTAACAAGAAACAACAGTCTAAATTAGCCCATTTATAAAATTTGGTGATACATACATGGTTGGTCATTATAATATTATTGCAATTTATACCTTTCACATATTGAACACATAGCCTTTGGTGTTTAATCAATACTTAACAGAAACAAATATAAACATACAAAATAGGATGAATATACAGCTAATTTCTCTAAATTCAATGGGAAGTAGGATTTGTACTGAGTCTAGCTAATTAACCTATACATTCCCTCACATAGTTATCATTTTAGGGGTAAGAGCACATTGCATATACTCTCAGCGTTGTTTTAAAAATATAATACATTATTATTATTTCATTCCCTGGTAGAAGAGCAGATTCAAATGTATTAATCATCTACTTCCCTTGCTGCTGATTTGTAAGTTTGCTTCTCCTCAATTTCATCTTCCCCAAACTCAACAGAAAAATACTTCACTTTCCTTTTTTTTTTTTTTTTCAGAACAGGGGATTGAACTCAGGCCCTTGCTCTTGCCAGGGAAGCGCTTATTCCACTGAACCATCCCCCCTCCCCCACCCTTTTCACTTTTTAAATGTGAATAATTCCTGCCCATGATTGAAGAGAAAGTTCTGCATTTTTTTCCCATTAGAGACAAGGCTAGCTGCCCTATGTCACCACATTATTATAGGATTTGAAAAGTATTCATGAGAACACATATTACACAAACTAAAATGCTGAGGATTAATTAACTTTATCAAAATATATGAACGTAAACAGGCAGATCACTAGGAGTCCAATCTAGTAGTGAGACCCTGAACACCTTGTAGAGCCTTCCCTAAAAGTACAAAAAAAAAAAAAAAAAACAACTTGGGTAGGTTTGACATCCCCTTTCCACCAAACTTTGGTTATGCTAGGGATTTACATACATGGTTGCAAATCAGTAGTACCTGAAATATCTTGTTGAAAATGCAGACAATCGAGGGGCATTCCTGAGATCTCCATGAGGTTGCCAGAAACAGGCCCAAAACATAGGCCTGTGTATATGACCCATCCATTAACGTAGGCTGAGGGGAGTTTGCGTACTCATGCAATAGACTAGCAACTAAGAGTAATATGGGGCACATCCCAAGCTATCTTTCCCTCTGACTTTCTTTCCAGATTTCAGCCCATGTTCTTCTTATTGTACTAAGTTAATTTTATAAATTGTTTTTTGGCAAAATTTTACCAGCCATGGCATTCAAATATTTGAACAGCATTCTGAAATGCATGGTGCATTTCTTTATTTTGGAACTGAGAGTTGCACAGCCATGGAGTTTGTTACATATAGCTTATTTTGAGTAATCCTTTGTATTTATATTTAATGATTCCTCTATATTTTCAGGATTTATTTATTTACTTTTTCTTCCAATATAATAGAGCAACTCAGACTACCCTTGGATTTATTAAGTATAGCAATGAATCTCTTGGATTCTTCTTTTGGACAAAACCTTTTTTTATTTTCATTATCTGTATATTTTGATAATTCTGCTTTTAGAAGGATTTTTTTTTGCAGGCTCAGGCTGCCTTAAGGACAGGTCTGGTAAGGTATGGGGAGCTGGAGCTCGAACTGTGGTCCCCTGCACCTGACTGAGCTTGCCCCAGCAGGTGCCTAAACAACTGAGCTAACCTGCAATCACCCCTAATTCTGCTTTTAGAAATCCAACCTATGGGGTCAGCCAGATAGATGAGCAGATTAAAGGGCCTGCTTATGCAGATGCAGGGACCACAGTTCAATCCCCACCATGCCATGCGGGCCCTGCTCCCATCCCCAGAGTGCGCTGAGAGTATTATTAAGACTAGGTGTGATGGTGTGCACCTGTAATCCCAGCACTTGGGAAGCTGAAAACAGGAGGATCACTATGAGTCCGATCTGTATAGTGAGACCATGTAGACCCTACACTAAATACATAAAAGAAATTCAACGTATGGAAAATAAGTTATTGATATATACAAAGATTTAAATAAAAGATAATTCAAAAGGCACTAATTGTAGTAGCAAAATAAATGAAAATACTCCCAATATCCATAAATATTATGGGGGTAGTACATCTGATTATACAACAGAATTATATGCTTATATCAGTATTAGGAACTCTGTCCAGTATGTTCCAGCTAGTTAGTGATGGTGTGGAAATTTAGATTCAGGCCCATCTAATTTACAAGTGCATTACTAAACATACAGATAGATCTTAAATCTGACTTGAAACTGGAAAACATAAGTACCACAATAGTGAACTGAATCAGTAACTAGAATTACATCTCAACAGGTTGGGATAACAGGACAGATTCATGCCATTCATTCATTCATCCATTCATTGAGACAGGGTCTCACTATGTACTTCAGGCTAGCACTGAACTCACTATGAAGCCAAGGCTGGCCTCAAACCTATAACAATCCATTTTTCTTACCTTCCTGAGTGCTGGGATTACAGGCAGGTGCCACCATGCCTGGCTCAATAAGAAAATTAAACAGGCATAAGTATACCTGTAACTGAGGCCAAAATGTTGAAAGGTATAAACACACACTAATAAAAGATACAAAGGGGGTGGTGAATGAAGGCAGGAGACTGGAAAAGGGATGTTGCGGGACTGTCCTGCTACAAGGTTGTATATGGTTAGATGTCTGGACTTATGTGTAAACATAAGAATTATATAATTCTTCATGCCTATTTTTAAAATATATGTTAATTTTTAAAATTTTTTTTCATCATATTCTGTAGGGACCTAAAGTTCAACATATCAATACTTGATGAAAAATACCTGTTCCATGTTATGCCTAAGATGTTTGATATTCAGACAGATAGTGAGGTGAAGCTCAACAGCCTAGGTTGTATGGTAATAACAATAAGCTTCTTTGCTGGAGGGTTAACAACCTGTTTGCAGACCAAAATTAGAGAAAAAGGAGGGCTGCAAGGAAAGCCAACATTTTGGCCCTAGCCTTCCAAGGTCAACTAAGACTCAGGACATATAAGAACTTGTGCTGTAACATTATGCAACTCAGTAGTGTCCCAAATTTCCTGATCAAGGAGATTATGGGGTCAAAGAGGAAAGTGATCGATGATGTAGAGTGTGCCTAAGGAGAGTCACCTGGAGAGAAAACATTCTCTCACGCTTTCACAGAGAGCACATTGGCCAAGCAATGGCTGTGACTCATCCACATGGCTGACACTGACAAAGATTCTACAACCTGAGGTACAGGATCTCAGGATAAATCCTGACTGGATTTGACTGACCTTATCAGATCCAAAAGCTACAACTCTTGTTGCATAGGTCTTACTTTATCTTGGTCATAACCACCCAGCAGAAAAGTATAAAAACAAAGTATAAGAAATAAAGCCATGGTGTTATGTTGAGCTGTAGGGGACTCAGGTCAATAATTTCTGACACTGCCAGTTCAAGCTGAAGTCCCAATACTATTATGGACTACTGGACTCTTTTAGAATATTTTGCTGAGTTAACACACCTATAATATTCATATGACAGAACTAAACAGAAAAGGGGGATATAGATGAATATCCATTTTGTATCTATGTATTCAAAATGGTTAGGATAGATATATAGTTACTTTCTCTTAATGCACAGAGGGATTTGTTATAATGGTATTTGTAAATAGGATATCATGTCTGCATCTTGTACAGCAAATAACCACTAGGAAGAGAGTATGCAATGTGTTAGTTATTAAAACTGTCCTACCAAATTGATTTGAAACTGTCTCATTACTATTTGTCTCTCAATAAAATTATAGGAAAAAAAGGATACAGCTTAACATCCATGTTGAAAAGTTTAATGAGTTTTTTAAAATGGCAAGTTCTTTATGGCATAGTTAAAGGCTATTATGAGAATTGTTGATTCTCATTACTCCCAGTAAAAATAAACTTAAGAACTTGCATGATCTTAGGCAGCATTAGAAATATATCCAGGTTAGAAGAGTTTGACATCCTGCAGTAGGCAGATACTCATAATGTACCTGAAGAAAACACTATTTATCCTAAATGCAGGTGGCAGAGAGTAATCACAATAGTGAAGTAATTCAAAAGCTATGATATGGGGAATGATTAAAACACATAAATAATATGTTTACCCAATAAATAAGATTATTTAAAGTATAACTGATGGGCCAAGGAAATAGCTCAGTGGCATAAGAACCTACCTAGCAAGTGCAAGGTCCTGAGTTTGATCCCTGGTACTGAAGGGGGAAAAAGTATAAATGATACCTTTCTGAAGCACTGATTTTTGGAAGAAAAATAAGACCTTTTCTGTATAACACCAGCACCACTGGATAGTAGTTATTATGAGTTAATTTGTTTTACCTAAGGAAGGACTTTAAATTGAATGACAGCTTCCAGAAAATTCAGTGGGCTCCTTAGTTTCCTACTGTAGAAGAAATGAAAATATCAAGCAGAAGCTGAACATCTCTGGTCATTTCCAAAATGGAGATGTCACATAATGATCTTCTCAATATGAAGCATCTCAATATTGAGAGTATCCGTACAAGAAAAGTCAAGACTTCTTAAGAGCTCTAGTATCCTATACTATTCACTGATTACTCATTAAGAAAAACTATAAATGTTCTTCACAGAAGTCAGAGTTTTAATTTGGCCTAGTTTACAATTTTTTATTAACTTACAAAATGTATCTAATAGATACATCAAAATATTTTCATAAAGTCAACTACATAAAACAACATAGCTCTTACATTATCTTCACATTATACAAAGTTCATAAACTTCTATAAACAAATTACCTGCTCTGGTCTTACTAGCTGCTTTTTGGATTCCTCTTCTTTGGCCATACGTACACTTACAGATGCATATATCACACTCACAGGCATGCTGGTCAGCTTTCCTATCTGAGAAAGAGATACCAACAAAGGCCCTTTTAATTTAAAAGCTTCACAGTTTCTATGTGCTAATAAATTCTGAGGCATCCCAGGAACATCACAGTTTCCCCTAAAAATTTTAAGTACAAAAACACTTCAAATTATATATTTTTAATGTACAGCTTCTAAGATTGTCTTCTCTTATTCAATTAACAGAGTAACACTGTTAATAAATACAGCCATAAGTGAACTATCAGAAATAATATCTCTATATTTCGTCTTCATACTTTTCTACTGGATGGTTAAGACCAAGGTAAAGCAGGACCTATGCAACAAGAGTTGTAGCTTTTTGGTCTAAGAAGGTCAGTGAAATGCCCTCAGGATCTTGAGATCCTGTACCTCAGATTGTAGAACCTTTGTCAGTGCAGCCATGTGGATGAGTCACGGCCATTGCTTGGCCAATGTGCTCTCTGTGAAAGCCTGAGAGAGCGTCTTCTCCCCATGTGACTCTCCTTAGGCACACTCTATGTCATTGATCACTTTTCTCACTCTTTTAGAATATTTTACTGAGTTTACACACCTATAATATTCAATAACAGAACTTAGAAAAAATGGGGTATACCGATGAATGTCCATTTTGTATCTGTGTATTCAAAGTGGTTAGGATAGATATATAGTTGCATTCTCTTAATGAATAGAATGATTTGTTCTAATGGTGTTTGCAAATAGGATCACAAGTCCACTTCTTGTACAGCAATTAACCACTAAGAAGAATATATGCAGTGTATTATTTGTTGAAACTGTACTTCCGATTTGATTTGAAACTGTCTCATTGCTGTTTATCAATAAAACTTTGAAAAAAATAATATCTCTATATAAAACACTATAAAAATGTAGTAATTACAAAAATTGGAAGTGACAAAATGATTGATCATAGAACTCAATCTATACGTAATCAAACACCTACTTTGAGCAAAACCCTGGTCTCAGTCCTCAGATTACAATGGTGAACAAATTAATATCCCCACCATCGTAAAACTGACATACTAGTGGAGATCTGGTGGGTAGTAAAGCTGATAAATGCTATGCAAAAACCGGAGGGTAAATAAAAAACAAGGTCAGTGAATTAGGTGATGGAGACTATTTTGAAATGCTATTCTATTTATATTATTCACAGAAATAACTTCTTCCATTAAATTTGTTTCTTCCTAACTTTTCCAATTTTTAACTGTTTCATGCTTAAAGCCAACTGTGATCTTTTGTTTTCAATATATATGATCTGAATTTTTACAATAGGAAAGTTATTGCCTCTAAGAAGAAAATGTTCCAGTGTTATTCAGAAACCAAATTAAATTTTAAACGTTTTCTTATTCAAGCAGGTCAATGAAAAGATCTCCAGAAACAATTATTTTCATAGACTTTCTTTTCTTGGTACATGTTTGTACTACATGATGACAATGAGTGTAGGGGATTGGTAGATGTACACCACACATTTCAATTCCCTTTTTCCTCCCCTTCCACCACCTACTTTCATTTTATGAGAAGGACTGTTTTTTATTGGATAGCTCAGGCTGCTTTAAGGGCAGTTCCCTGTGCCTGAGTTTGCCCAAGCAAATGCTTTAAACAACTGAGCTAACAACCCACAAGTCCCCCACCTCCTTTTATTTTTACAATATCAAATTCATTTATCTTGTGAGATTTTATAAATTATCATATGTAAATAATGCAAGCCAGACTAACAGGATAAATATAAAAATATGTAAGACAACTGTACTACATCAAGGTATATATTTACATACATTGTCTCCACTGGACTACAATACCTTAATAATACCTTTTTTTCCAGTTTATATGTCTGACTTACTTAACATTATGGTCTCAAGGTGTATCTATTTTGCTACAAATGACAGAAATTTATCTCTTTATGGCAGAGTAATCCTCAACTGTGTGTGTATAGATAATACATTTCTATGCATTCATCTGATGATGAGTATAAAGGCTGTTTCCAATTTATTTATTATGAATTGTACTACTATAAACATGGCTAAGCATACATCGCTCTGGTATGATACCAATAACTCTTGTGGAAAGATACCTAGAAGAGGAACAGCTGGGTCAAATGGAATTCCTTTAGCTTTTTTAGGACAGTCCATACTGATTTACATATTGGTTTCTGAGCTTGCAATCCCACCAGCAATGAAGAAGCATTCCTTTCTCCCCTCATTCTCACCAGCATGTTATTTGGCTGATATTTCGATGGTAGTCCTTTTTGGTGGAATGAGGTTCTCAAATGCCCAGCAATATCAAACATTTTTTCATGTATATATTAGCCATTTGTATTCCTTAAACTGAGGAGTGCCTATTCATTTCAGATGCCCATTTTCTAAACTGAGTCTGAAATTCAGGGAGGTTTAATATTTTGAGGTTTTTATATATTCTAGATATTATTCTTTGAGGAGTCTTAAATGCTAGATATTAAGAAAAGTGGTTTTATAAATATGTTATTGTTGTCTAAATGCAATAACATAAGTTTCTTACTAGTTACTTTTAAAAACTCCAGACATAAACATAAAAATGAAACAAAAAAATCTATAATAGGAGGACTCTGTCTTGGATATGTTTCTCTTCTTGGTGAGACAAAAATAGGTAACATCCCAAATTATGGAAGAAAATATTTAGCTCACACAGTTTGTGGAGGTTCCAGTCCATAATCAGCTGGCACCTGGCATGATGGCACAGCACAGAGGTAACAGCTCAAGGCAGCAGAAGACAGGAAAAGCAACAAGAGCAAAAAGGGATGGAAGAGCAAGCCTCTATTCCTTCCTTATATTGTAAGCAGGCTGCCTGTCCTCTGGTGCGTTTAGCACTCACACCATCTCCATGTCTTCTTACACAGGATGAAGACATTTACCAAGTGAGGGCCTTGGTCCCCTGCTGAGTCCTTTAAACCTCTAAACTTGCCAAACTGACATACTGTATCAACCATTACAAACTCTTCTGATCTAAAAATAGTGTTTCAACTCTAGTGTGCTGACCATTACCAATTTTGCAAGAGTATAAATCAAAACTTTGCTTTTGCTGCCTCTGAAGTCTAATGTGGATTTCAACAAGTAAATTCATTTCTTCTGCAATCAGAGCCTCTCCCAGGAAATTCTGTGCCTGTTTTTCCACAGGCACAGAAGTGGATCCTTATGGAGAGGGAGTTGTTGTCCAATCCACCTTTGGGTAGCCCACTTTATCCAGGACTTTTTTGTCTACACAGAAGTCATACAACACCTGAAACTATTGTTCTTAAGGACAGTGAAACCATGCAGGAGAGAAAGAACTGCCATTAGGGATAATCAAATAACCTCTTGTATCAGCCAAAACAATTAGGACTATATATACTGCCTCTTAAAGGTGTAGGAAAGTTATTCAAAGAGTACACATAAAACCTCCATTGGAGATAACATAAATGCAAACAAGAAAAAATACCAAAAGGGATCAAGCAAAAATAACAGACATTCTAAGTCTTAGAAAACAAAGATTAAAAAAAAAGAAATTCTTGAGAACCAGTCCTAGCCCAGGCCTGGTGAGTGTGTGGGAGAGCTTCTGGCTACCCTGCGCTGGCAGAACATACTGGTCCCAGCCCAGGCGCAGGGTGGTTGAGACCCTCTTCCACCCCCTTGGGACACCCTCCACCACTCTGCAGCACCTCTCCCACCCCACCCACTGATTAAGAATTTCTGCCATTTTCCAGGAACCCCCAACCCAGTCCACCCTTGAATGTGTAGGTGAGCTTCCTACTACCCTGAGCCAACGGGATCTACTGGTCCCAGCCCAGGTACAGTGTGGGTGAGACCCTCTTCCACCCGATTAAGATGCCCCCCACCAGTCCGCAGCATCACCCCTACACCACCTGCCCAGTATGAATTTCTGCCCTTTTCCTGGAAAGCCCAGATCCAGTCTTAGCCCAAGCCCGGTGAGTGTGTGGGAGAGCTTTCAGCTACCCTATACTGGCATCACCTACTGGTCCCAGCCCAGGCATAGAGTTAGTGACACCCTCTTTCACCCTCATGAGACGCCCCCCATTACTCTGTAATATCCCACCACACCCCACCCACAGAGTAGGAATTTTGGTCATATTCCGGGAACCCCCAAATCCAGTCCTAGTCCAGGACCGGTGAGTATGTGGGAGAGCTGACTTTCCCCGCTACTACACCTTGTCCCCTCCAGACTCAGCTCAGGCCTGGCATACAGGCCTGCGGTGAAACCCTGCAGCAGCAATCCCTGAAGAAAGTATAGGGGACAGAACTACCCAGTTAGTCCAGGAGCGGAACATCTTGCCAGAGGGGTACAACAGGTTCACCCCCAAGGACAGCGGCAGTAAGGAGCTGAGCACAGCAGGCAGACCGAAGCCATGCACAGTTGGATAAATCAAAACTTTGTAGATCTGCACCTGAACTTCATTAGGTGCTGAGGTTATAACTGCACCAAAGCTCTACAACAAAGGTGAGAAGACAGTGCTACACAAAGTGACAACAAAGAGCAAAATGCAAACTCAGAAGCCAAGTCCATCTATAACAAGTGCAGAGGACACTAACATAGAAGAAACTGGGAATCACACAGCTGAAAGCAATGAATCAACAGCTTCTAAAATAAAGAAACAGCTGCAGAAAGGTATAGAGAAACTCAGAATGGAATGAGAAAAGAAATCCCTGAATTAATAACACCTGCAGTAAAGAATCAAATGGAGAAACATATGGAGGAAACCCAATGCCCACCCAGAGCAAGTGCAGAGGACACTAGCTCAGCTCAAATGTATGAATTATTAGCGTTGATAGTAAATAAGCAACAGCAGAATGACATAGAGGAACTCAGAGCGGAATTCTTTTCCACTAGCTCAGGTGAAATGCATGAAGTAATAATGTCGACAGTAAATAAGCAACAGCAGAAAGTTATAGAGGAACTCAGAATGGAATTCTTTTCTGAAATAAAAAAACAATTCTCAAAACTCATACCATCTAAAGTAAAGCATCAAATACAAAAGC